AAGTTGGTGTTTTATTAAAACTTGCTTCTGGGAATTCTAGGCCCTGCTTAGTTTCACTAATATTGGATACTTCCATCAGGATCAGAAGATTTGCATTTAAGTGATTTTGCTATATATTGTCAACCTCCTTTGCTTTTTCCTTTCCACCTGCCCTCTCACTGAATGATGCGTATTAGTTCCTTCCTCTGTGGGTTCCTCTAGTATATTAACTAACCAGTCTCCTTTTAATGTTAAGAATTTGAGTGTTTGTCAATTGTAGCAGATTTCTGCGCAAGGCCTAGTTGAGAGTGAATGCTTTAATACCATTTATACATACTTCTACAGTAAAGTAAAAAATAATTCGTTTTACCTCTTCCTCTTCACAGGGTGATAAAGCAGATTGTTTTTACATTGTAGAATCTGGTGAAGTAAAAATCTTGATTAAAAGCAAGGTGAGTTCAAATTGAGTGATTAGGCTTTAGGTCAATCCCTGATTTGATCGATTAATCCAAGTGGTGTGAAAAAGCCTACCCTGGTTTAAGATATTATTTTATGATGTTTAGCATCGTCACTTATGTCATGTGGGTTGTAAATCCCCATACATGTTCTGAAGTGGCCAGAAGTCACTTAACTAAAGTTGGAAATTCTTTTGCTTGTATCTGCTCCTCTGCAGACTAACCTGATCTACTCTCCCTGGCCTTAAGAGTGGAGATGAAACTTTTCTTCTAGGAGTATAGAAAACTGCAGCTTGCAAAACCTGGGGTCTATTATCTCTAGTGACATACTAGACATTGGCCTGTGAATGGATCTCTGTACAGTCTGAAGCAGCCTTAGGGAACAACATGTTGTGCGTGATAAAACCTGCATTAGGCTAATGTAATAGCAGTTCCCAAAGCTGTAACAGTAAATATCTGCCAATCTCAAAAGTTGTGGACTGGCATACGCTTTTTTTATCAAACTTCTAACTGAACATGCTGTTAAGGTGTTCTGCCAGTACAGAGCATGACTTGGGACTTGCTAGTTTAAAAGCTCTAAACCAATGAGCTGTTGCACATCTGTAAGATATCTGGGATTAATTGCAGCCTTGTACAAAGACAGAACCGTATGCAAATAATTAAAATGTACTGTTTAACAGACTATGACGAGTAAAGAAGCTAACCAAGAAGTGGAGATTGCCCGGTGTCACAGAGGGCAGTATTTTGGAGAGCTTGCACTTGTTACCAACAAACCCAGAGCAGCCTCTGCCTATGCTGTTGGGGAGGTCAAATGTTTAGGTAAGCAGATGTTCTGTGTTTCTAGTTTCCCTTTTCTGGTCTTTGCTTGTCTTGTGGACCATGCCCGAGTGAGCAGCTATTCAAAACCTAGCAGCCTTTTGGTAACTGGTGGTCAGACATGAGAAGTTAGGAGCATGGGCTGGAGCGGATCTCCACATTGAAGTTTGAGAAGTGCAGCTGCTTCCTTCCAGCAGATTCTGTTTTTTTCTGCTTGTGTGGCCTATACTCTTTGAAAGGAGTAAGTAGCATCAGCTGCTTGTCTACAGCTTGTTTGTCACACACAGCTTTCAGATGATTGTTTAATGCCAGTGTGGTGTGTATTTGGCTTCTGTATTTATCCTTGAGGTCAGGTGTATATTTTATTAATCTTGTTTCTCCAAATAACAGAAATATGATTTCTGTTTCTGTGGCTTCTATTGAAGCCTCAAACCCAAATGGGCTGGACTGGAGGTCTGTGTTCTGAGTTCAAAAAATAGATTGGCATGTGGTGTCCTTTTTGACAAACAATCTTGTTTTCACTTCTGTTCCTTTGCAGTCATGGATGTGCAAGCATTTGAGAGGTTGCTTGGACCCTGCATGGACATTATGAAGAGGAATATAACACATTATGAGGAGCAGCTGGTGGCAATGTTTGGCTCTAGCATGGACCTGTTGGATCCAGGGAATTAGGCACAGGGTACCTCAATGCCTTCTTAGTTCAAGACACAGAAAAGCCTCCTATCAGCAACACAACTCACAAGGAAAACGGACACTACGGAACAGTTACTGCTGCTGTCTTCTTGGGCATTTTAGAAACCATAAACAAGTCTCAGCACAGATGGATTGCTCGCTCCCTGCCTCCACTTTGCTGCTGATACTTCATTATTAGACCTAGATTAAAGATGATTCTAACCCTATGTTCACTTACTTGGTTCAGAATGGCATCTGTCCAACAGTTCAAGTGCCTGATATGAAACCCAAAGTGTGCAAGATATAGAAGCCTCCTTCCTTCTGGTGTTACTGTTGGGATAAATTTTCAGATCAGATTCTGTAGTGGGAGGTTGCCTGTTCCGCAACCTGTGGAATGCGAGCCTTTACAGGCTTATTACCTTCATCTGATGCTTTCTTTACACAATGTCAAATTTGTTTTTAATTGTAGCATCTGGGTTTGAACTTAAAGTATCAATGGAGCCAATTAATAAGGTGGCACTGAAGTTTTCTTCCACCTGCTGAAAGTGGCAGGTACTATAGCTCTTTAAACCAAGTAAACCGAGCTGGGGATGTGGGAGAGTCTGCTTAGCAACAAAATGCAGAAAATGAAGCATTACTATATTTTAAGTTTTCTGAGCAGCAAAGAAAATTGTTTTACTCTATGCTGCCCAAAAAAGTGCAGTGGTTCAGATCAAATGGCCTGAAGGTGTCACAATTGTCATCTCCCCAAATTTGCTCCTTGTTCCTGACACTGAGTACGTTTTATTGTGGTGAGATCACAATATATGACCTTCTCTTGCTTACAGAGATCCTTTATACTGCTAGATTTCCCAGTGCGCTGTTGTTGACTGGGTCAGTTTTAAAGCTTTTTAAGGAGGTGAATGTTTTGTAATTTAAATGAAGACCACTTCTGTACTTGTTTACAGGAGCTCCCCCCAGTCCTAACATTTCACAGTATTCTAACTTCATTAGACACTTGGATGCTTCCAAATACCACGTTGATTTGCTAAACTTTTTTGAAAAGTTGGCAACATTTGACTTTGTAAAGCAAATGTCTTTGCTAACTACGCAGTTGGTGTGTTTGAGAAGTCTTTTGGGTTTAGGTGATAACTAAGCTAATGATGTTTATCTAAAATACCTGTTAAATTTGCAGCATTTATTAGGTAGATTCTATTTCTATAGCTTTAATGACCTTAATTGACATACTGCTGAGATTTTATCAGAGTATTACCTAAATAAGAATCAGACCATAAGAAGGACATTTTTATGGTCTAAAAACAGAATATTTATATTAAGACATTGAATTTGTAGGTAATAAATTTAGTGACCCTTTGAATTTACATTCTTCTGCAGCTCATGCAAAACTTACTGGTGTTTTATGGGGTTATAAAATTTTAATTGTGGATGCTAGTGTAACAGAACCTGCTCTTTTTATTCATGGCCACGTGAGCAAGAATAGAAGGATGCTAATGTTGAATTCCTGCTTCTAGTTATCACACTGGACATTTCTCTAAGGCATGAGATGCTTAGCTGCAACTCTAAGTTGATTTCTGGACAATTTTTTTTCCCTAAATGGATGAGCTCCTCCCAGTTCCTGCAATATGAGTAAGATGGAAACTTGGTAAGTTTGAATGGCTGTTGTCCAGTTACTGTAATTGGAGTAATATTTTTATATAATGCAAATGATTTGTAATGGACACCACTGAACTAGGTGTTTCCGTATTATTAAAGTCCTGGTTGTGATGTCTAGTGGCTGTTCTAACTGCATGTATTTTAGAACAGTGAATTTCCCTTGCTTTACTGGGCTGGATTTTTGTTGTAAATTACAGCCAAAGAAGCAGCAGGTACTTCATTCATGCTTCCAAGGTTTAACACCAAAGACAAAATAATTCTTTTGATTACAGAATTAAAAAAAAAAAAAAACGAACACACACAAAAAACCACAACAAAAACAAACCAACAAACAAAAAACAAGAAAAAAATTTAAAACACACTCGTCAGGTCCTTGCATTGATAACAGATAAAACTTTAAGATACTTTCGGCTCCAAGACAAGAGTCTTTTTGAAGCCAGCTTGTGATTGTCCTGTGAACCAGACATAAACTGGTCTCCAAAACAGTATGAGTTTCTGTGCTGCCTAAACTGTAATGTGAGCTAAAGAGAAACTTGCTGTGAATAATCATCAGCTGGCCTTTGTTGCTCCCACGCAGAATATTCTCTGCTTTATCCAGAGGAGCCTGGCACATTGGGCTGCCTTAGAGATGGATTCTGGTTCTTCCAGCCTTTGGTTCTCTGCAGGACAGGATTGTATACCTCAGTATATGCAAATACTGGCAATTGTTCTGAAGCTTAACCAAAAAAACCAGGCAAGGCTGATGTTAGATTCTTAAGGTAATTCTGCCTGGAAGGGAGGATTTGATGGCTTCTAGAAGTCAAAGGGAAGGATGAGAACATAAAAGATTGGGATCCTATGTGACCAAGAAGTTTTGAAGTTTTACGTTTCTGTAGACTCCCCGAAGCAAAGGCACACTAGGCAATGCCATCCTGCATCCGGAATCCATGTGACATGACTCTGTGGTGTAAAGAGGCAACCTGACCTTGAGCTGAAAGAGAATGAGCCTGTAAAAAGGCTTGTCCCTTTAAAAGCTATAATTTGCGATGTGTCTGATTAGTTTGGTCTGATTTAACCAACCTGTTCTGTACAATTTTGGAGCATGAAGATAGTGAGAGAAGCTTGTTGTAAGATACTCAACATTGCCAGGTATCTGGTTAGAGCACCAGCAATGAGCAAAGTCAGAAAGCATGTGAGTGGTAATAGCAAGACCAGGGAGTGAAGTGAGGCGCCTGTTTGTAAAGATCTGCCCGCATCACTGTATCGCGGCTCATTCCTTTTCACTATGACTGTTAATTGCAATTGTCGTGGAGAACGAGCCCGGGTTTTTTGTTGTTACTACTCAGTGTTCAGTAAATCTGCCATGGAGTCTCTGAAATTGGCAGTAGAGAGATATCTAGTTTCTAATAAAAGAACTCAGCAGCAAAGTGAGCAAAGAGGATAATGTCTTTGAGACTTAGCGGAAAAAAAAGTCTCTTGTTTGTGATTCCCTGCTTGTGATTGTTGTGAAGTCAGTGAGAGGAGCTTTCAGTGGTCAAATATCCTGGCATATGGTATTTCTGTTTAATGTCACAGCACAGGTTTCACAATGTACAAGAACAAAAAAGGGCAAAAGTGCTCTCTTTTTAGAAACGAAAGTGCAAAACTCAAAACTTTAAAACAAAATTTTAAAAACAAAGTGCAATTTTGCACACAGGGCAAAAACCGAAACCCCTTTGAATGTCACTTCCATACTTTCTTTTCCGTTGGCTGAAAGCGGACTCTTGTTCTTTACATGTATTTGTAAACTAGTCTTGCCAAAATACAAACACTTTGGTTTTTTTTCACTCCAGATAATTTTTGTTGTTATGGTTATTGCTGTTTATTTTCACTTTATTCAAACCATATATTTTATTTCAAGAGGCCTTCCTTGTGGATTTCCTCCTGACGGTCTGCAGCACTACACTGCTATTTCAAGATGCAAGAGAAAGTCACTAACCTCATAGGAGAACACTCAACTCCGCTTAGCTGGCTGGAGCTAATAATGCGCTACTAATTTTCCTCTGCTCTGTGGGGCAGGAGGGGAATTAAGTTCTGCATAAAGTTGCTACCTCAAGGCTCCAAGTGCTTTTAAAGGTCTTTCACTTGGGAGAATTTCATAAGACAGTTCTTAAAATTGGTCTGTTATTTTGAGTTAAATGGTTTTTTTAATTGATTCATTGAGGGACCCTTATTTTTAATTCATTTTACGTTTAGTACTTGATTCTCAAAGGATGAACAGCTGCGAAGTTTGGTTCTTGCACTATAGTGTTGAACATGAAAGAAAAATACTTGCCATATAAACATACGGTTTTAACAAGTTAAACCACTCTGGGGTTCAGCTTCACTTTTGGTTAATAAAAACCTGACATGTTGTGTCCAGCCTTCCTGTACAATCCTGTGTGTGCTCTTTATTGACTTAACTGCAGCTGACACAACCTCCCCCAGTGCTTACATCAGGAGTGGACTTTACAGCAGCTAACTAGATGTACCCGGAGTGCCTGAGTTTCTGTTGCTTGTGTTATCGGAGCCTTAGGGAGAACCGCACTCGCCCTGTTGCAATAACCAAAAGAGATTTATACGTTACCGGACCACCAAGTTTTGCTGTTTGGTGATAAAATTTTACTAATATCTTAAAAATAATACCAGTTTCTGTAGATATTATTGCTCCCAATAAAACTGGCTGCTCTGCCAAATTACCGTAGAACTGATTTATTGTTTGAGCACTGTGCTAACTGGTTCTCCGTTCCTAGGAGAAACACAGTATTTCTGAAGGTCTCTCACTGGCCTGCACTCTACAGCTACTGAATTTTATGTGGCAAGCTGCCTTTTTTTAACCTAACTAACAACTTGAAAAGAAAATTACTTTGGTACATGTGAAAAATTGCCTGTTCAGATACTCAATATTTGCTTTTGCTAAAGTTTTGTTTCTAAACATGTAGTATTTTATTTACAGTTTTTAAATTAGTCTGGGAGAGTAGTTGAGGGGGATTGTGGTGCTGATCATGAGAAAGCCTCTGTCAGAATACAGTACTTCAGCTTTGGGCACTTTAACTCAAGGAAGATGTTGACACCTGAAAGGGCCAGAGGGCAGCAGCATGATAAATATCTAGAAAATGTTACATTTTACAGAAGGATAAGGAAAAAATGGGATTTTTTTTTTTTTCTATGGAAAGAAGGGTTGGGGGAAAGGGGGCAGGGAATATTCAAACATACGAAAGATTTCAACAAGGAGGAATGATCCCATAGTGATTAGGACAGGCCTATTAATATGGGGCATAAGCTACAGCAGGGAAGCTGTTGATTAAGCATTGAAAAGATCTGTCTGGAAGACAGCTAGAATAGACTGCGTGGGGGAGCGTGAAATCTTCCAGCACTAAATTTTTTTTTTTTTTTTTTTCCTGGAACGGTTGTAAACTAGCTCTGCTGAACGCTTACAGTATCTGTCTGAGGCAGGGGTGGATTAGGTAACCTCTTGGGGAGGCTTTTGTGAGGTGTTGCTGTTTTCTTATGAATACCTCTTTAAAGTCACCAAGGGCTTTAGCTGACACAAATACGCTGTCTCCAGGCTTTGCGCCACATCAGCAGAAGGAAGATGAAAACAGATCAGTGCCTGTGAAAGAGAGGGAGATATGTTCTTTACAGCCCGACACACAAGTAGGCTGTCAGTGCTGGGGCTCGGGTCCAAAGCTTGCCAAGCACCTGGGACAGAGGAGGCCAGGCTCCCCGTGGGACAGAGAGAAGACCCCGAGGCCAAACAGAGAAAACATCTTGGAACTCTGAAGTTCCTCTGCACAAACTGGGCAGCTTGATGGCAAACACAAATGGTGTCT